GTGTCTCGAGCTGGGGAAAACCGTAGCATCAAGATGATGCCGGACACACTTCACATCAAATCATATGCATTTCTCCCGACCTCGCAGACTCTCAAGATAGCACGATAGGCTTGGCCAGATAGCTGAATCTTGGAAGTGCAAAACGAAATCATGAACAGGCCAGTGACCATGCCCAGTGATTACGCCTACTTTGCCAAACATATCTCGCTGTCGTGGTTCTGTCGTTCTTGCTTATGGGTTGCAATCTTCAGGTGCTCCATGGTGAGGCTCTTTGGCGACAGTCCAGCAATAGCGGAACGTCTTTGAAGGCATGCACATCTTCAGTCATGTGCAAGTCTGCGAAAGGGGCTGGAAATCCCACTTTTCAGCAAATGCAACTGTTGTGGTTGCTCCGCCATCTTGTCACACACAAGTTGCTTGGACGGACTTAGGGCAATTGCGGAGTTGGAGACCGCCCCGTCTTGAACATCAGGAGCGCGGGTGCAGTGGCTTGCCCGCGGTCATATCACTTTCTCCATGCACACAGCTTGTACTGCATTGCAGCCGCCGTCTCGTCAAGCTACACTGCAGCAGCTGCGTGTGCTTCCAGAGCAGACAAAGCTGGGCCCTGAGACCTTGCTGTCGCCATCCGGATGTCCTCAGAATGTTTGCCACAGCAAACTCAGCACTGCATCGCCTTGTGCGACCGTCTGAGGCCAATCTTGACAATCTGCTGGAGCAGAAGCTCCTAACGAGGGTCACCGTCGACGGCGCCTCCTTCTCCTTCCTATCGCGCTCCTTCTGCGAGGCCGTCTCTCATTTGTTGTGGTCCGTGCGCAGGTAGCGGGTGAGTTCGCCTCAAGGTGAGACTTGTTGACCGTCTTCCACCACCCCACCACCGACTTCATCACACTCCCCAATGCCGCGATTCTTGCTGTGCTTCCCCTTCTTCATCCTCTTGATCCCCTCGTGTCATCCTCGGACAACTCCTGACACCACATCGGCGATGCTTTCGAGCTTGCCGCGGGGTAGGACGACGACTCTGGGTCGGACATTGCTTTCTTTCCCGCTTCGGCGACGAGGAGGCGACATTCTCTGGTGCTCGACGCACCCAAGGCATCGCAGTAAGTGCTCACTCCGATCCTGATTGCTCGCCGTTGACGCCGCCGCCTTCGCCGGCTTGGTGTCGACCGATGCAGCTACTCAGCCCCTCCTCTGCCACCGCTATACCAGCTGCTGATGGCTATGCCTGACCACTGCTGACAACATCGCTAGTCAAGACTTCATTCCAGGATTGTCGCCACTGGCTGAACACCTGAGCCTGTACGGACGAACGCCGACTACCACACTCACTTCTCGTCCTTACAGAAGGTTCGTACAGGCCAGGTGTTCAGCCCGGCACCTCTCACAAACTGCCTCTCTTGGCTAGAGCAGTAAGTAGTACCCCGCCTACCTCTTGTGAGCATCGCTGATTGACACGTCGGTAGAGGCAGTCGCCTGCTCGAAAAGCCTTGGTAGCCTTGTCACTGCCGGCTGGACATCTGGGCCTGTACGGACGAACGCCGACCACCACACTCACTTCTCGTCCTTACAAAATATTCGCACAGGCCAGGTGTTCAGCCCGGCACGTCTTGCAAAACGTTTTCCTCAGTTGGTAAGTCGAAGTCCCGATGCCGTCCATGGTAGACCTGCTTGTGCAACGCCGTGCTAATGTATGAGTGCTCAGGCACAACAGCGAACATACACGCCTTGCTCCGTCGACACGGAGGAAGTCGCCTCTGGTGATAGTCGCCAGCTATCACTGGGGGCGCAAGGAGTTTTCAAGACGACAATAATCCGATCGTCATATCTCCACTGCCGCCAGTCGCGGAATTCGGCGTTCGGCACAGCGAAATGATGGCGCACGGCGGCGTTCATGCTCAGTAAGTCCAACCCATCTTCAAGGTCTTCGGGTCATGCTAATCGCTCCAGAAGTCATCAAACAGGTGCTGAAGCTGTTCGCCGCCGGTGCCCATCTGGGACGTCGCCTTGACGGTGCCGCTACTCGCCGCGGGCGCATACATCGGCCATCGACACAGTAAGTCGCCGAAGTCCTGGCGCACCTCGTCCATAGGCCAGCGTTATGTGCCCTAGGCCATGCGCTGTAAGTCGTCGAAGTCCTTAAGTCGCTGAAGTCCTAGCGCACCTCGTCCATAGGCCAGCGTTCGAATGCGCTGCGAACAAGCCATTCACAGTAAGTCGCCGAAGTCCTGGCGCACCTCGTCCATAGGCCAGCGTTATGTGCTCTCAGCCATGCGCTGTAAGTCGCTGAAGTCCTAGCGCACCTCGTCCATAGGCCAGCGTTCGAATGCGCTGCGAAAAAGCCATTCGCCGACCCCCGCCAACATGTGCACCAAGGTCGTACACAAATAGGGCTGCGGCCACGAGATTGCTGAGAAGGCAGGATGATGTAGTTCTCCCAGACGTGGCCGCTGCCAATCTCGTGGCCGCTCCCAATCTCACCCGGCAGCATGACACAGCAACAGCAGCACCACGATGGCAGCCAGCAGCAGCAGCAGCAGCACTCGCATCACCAGCATCAGCACCCAAGTCGCCGAAGTCCCGGCGCATTGCCATCCATGGGCACAAGTCGTCGAAGTCCCGGCGCATCGCCATCCATGGGCACAAGTCGCCAAAGTCCCGGCGCATCGCCATCTATGGGCACCAAGGTCGTACACAAACATCACTCTTTCGCTCCTTCCTCTCCAGATGGAATGTATGTTCGTCTGGACTCAGCCATTCGCCATCTACGGCGTGGACGGTGCCTTTGACCCTTCCTTCGACCCGAACAGACAAACCTACAACTTCTCCCAGACGTGGCCGCTCCCAATCTCACCCACCACTAAGTCGCCGAAGTCCCGGCGCATTCCGTCTATGGGCCAGCGTTATGTGCTTTCAGCCATGCGCTGTAAGTCGCCAAAGTCCCGGTGCAATACCACCTATGGGCATCTTCTTCCACGGAGCCACTTGGACTTTACGCACTTTAATCATCGGCGACCATTTCGATTCTTCAGCGAGACTGAAAGCGGCCATAGACGGGTCGAGCAGCGTTCGAAACTGCCTACGTCTGCAATAACACGATGACCGAGTCGGTCAAACCCAAGGGTCGAAATCGATTTCCATATCCCAATATGGCAGGAGTAGGAGCAAGAGTGGGAGACTATCAGTGCAAACCGATTTTGACCGAAACATCACGGTCAACATGCATGCCTGGATGGCGGTCTCCAGAGCCGTATCCAGGAGTAGGGCTGGTGCCCAAGCCCAGCGCTGGAACTTATACTCACACCCCTTTTCTGATCATCATTTGCCCATCTCTTCGTTGGTAACTCCAGCGGAGAGCACAACGATCAGCTACTGATCGATGGAAAGAAGAGAGGAGAGACGTACAAGCAGCTGCTCCTATTTCTGAGCTGGTATGAGAACAGCGCGCGTGTTCCCATGATCATCAACGGGCCCAACATTGCGCCCAAGAAGGTCAAGGAGTCGGTGTCTCCGGCCTGCGAGCCTTGTGCTCAGTTCGCAGCGGGTGGAGCTTGACAGCTCTCCTTCGAGCATCGTGATTCCCACACGATGGCAAACGACGCGAATAGGCTCCGGCCTGAGAGCCTTGTGCTCGCTTCACAGCGCGCAGTGCTTGACAGCCCTCCCGGGCACAGTCGCAGCCCGAGCAGACTCGGACTCATCGCTGTGGACTACCAGCAGCGATGAGTCTGAGGCGCCCATGACGCCAATGACGGAGGTGGTGCGGGTAGTTACCGCAACTCGCGTACATGGATGTCCCCGGATGCACTGCTGCGCGCGCAGCAAGTCGCCGAAGTCCCGGTGCAACACCAGCTATGGGCCGCCCTGCAACAGCATGGGTGAAGTCGTCGATAAGCCGCTTCTTCAACAGATGGACTTTTTTTGTTGATGAACCTTTTCTGTTGTGGTCTTATGATTCATCTGCATCGAGTTAGACAGACCCCAGCCTTCCCGAGGCACCCGAATTGGCCGACCGACCATCTTCCATGGCCGCAGCAGCGTTCCTAGGAGTCGCATGGTCTATCTGCATCGAGCTTAACATCCGCCTGCTGTACAGAGCCACACGTCTCAGCCTATACTTCTGGAGCTGCTTACTCTGCAGTTGGGGGCTGGTAGTCCACGGCATCTCGATCGTCCTAGCCAACTTCACCAAATCGACTAAGATATGGCGATCTTGAAGTCTGGGAGCACTGCGTCGGAGGCAGGCGCGTCAAGAACATCCCCACCATCGCCGACGACCTCGCCAACCATATCATCGTCATCTGTCTTGGCTGAGGGCATTGTTCCCTCCGAATGTCGATGCCACGTTGGCGACACTACTTTGAATCTTGAACACTTCTTCTCGGACCCGTCTACTGAAGCGGAGCTCACACGGGTGTCGGAGAAGGTGCGGGAGCGTACAGTGATGACGGACCAGGATCTCATGTCCAAGATCAAGGTCACAGGACTGATCGCACTGAGGAAGAACGGCTGGGTCATGTGAAAGCAAAGATCTGATCGGGCGCACCAAACCAACCCGATAAAGACTTCATGGACGGGCGCATCAAACAAACCAGCGACCTCGAAGTGTGGGAGCACTGCGTCGGAGGCAGGCGCGTCAGCCGGCCTGCCTAAGTACTTCCAAAGTCTTGAACTTCTCGGCAACAGTCGTCGCGTCACTCGAGACAATCTCCGCAATCTGATTGGATCGCCAACATATGCGAGGACTGCGTCCGCTCGTCCTGCATCATCCTCTTCACCACTGCCGAACCTCTTTGTTAATGCCGCGATCATCGCGGTCGAGGCCCGCTTCAAAGAAGCCAGCGACCTTGAAGTGTGGGAGCACTGCGTCGGAGGTAGGCGCGTCAGCCGCCCTGCCTTCAACGCGCTCATGCTCTGGTCGAAGTAGGCTTCTCTCATGGCCCCAAGCTCCAAGACAAGATAGCATTCGTGGTAAGGCGCGCTCATGCCTTATGCACACCATGAACGCTCAACCCCTACCCCGAAGTCGACTATGCCATCAAGTCTACGCGAACCGCGAGGACTGCAACAACAAGTTGGATATTCGACGCTACGAGCGCGCCGAGAAGGGCTCTCGTGGTGCGACGGTCTTGAGACGGCGAGGTGACCGCCAATATCGACGCGGACCCAGCCAAGCTGAAGTACACGGTCGACATCATCTACGCGAGTGCCATGGAAGACAGGAACTGGGTATATGTCGCAGTCAAGCTGCTGAACTATCTCTGCCTTCTCATCCCAGCAACACTGGCCGACCCAAACGTACTCCCCGATGGGCTCCTCATGAAGACATGCGTTGGTCGTGCTACCGTCGACAAGGGCGTTGCCTTCGAGGTCTGCGCAGAGAACATCTGCTTTGGCTCGATCTCGCATGAAGCGCATTGGGTTCATCTCCGACTTCTACCGTTTGGAATTGTTGGATAGTTGGATTCGTAATGCGAAATGAATAGATAGTGAGCCTCCAGCCTATACCATCCCAGAGTAAAACAATGCTGACGTCTTCCAGGAATTAATAAAGTTTAAAAGAGTCGTCTGGTTCTTTTTCTTTGCGTGATGTCGATTCGGGCTGCGACGGCAACAGCCGACGTCGACGGTGCTGGTGATGCTAACGCTTAGCTGTTTCTTGCAGCTTCGAAGCTGATGAGCATCGCGTACGTGAAGATGCGACTTCCATGGCAGATTCCAGATGGTAAGTCGAGAGCTCTGATATGCTCTTTTGCAAGGCTAACGATTCCGTAGTCGATTTGTCGCTGTCCAGGTCTCACTGTCGATGGCTCCGCGCCGGTATCTCGCTGTCGGATGTCTCGCTGGCGATACCCTGCAGTTGATATTTCGCTGGCGAAGTCACAATGCATCACTGTACAGCCTTGTCGGTCATTGCTCCGGTAGACTGCACGTCAACCGCCATACCATGCGGCCTGGTCAAGCCTGCTCGACACACTAGCCATGGAGGCTGAGTATGCCACACCACATGCTTCATCGACAGCGAGATCGAACAAGCGCTGCGGGCTTGACCCACGCCTGCGCCGATGAGCAATGAACCTTTGGGTGCTCCGATGGCATGCCCATAGTGTCCGTCTCTTGCTGGTATGTATCCTCTCCATGGTTTCCTCGCGCTTGCCCAAGCGCCCCGCACAGTATGTTGTAGGCCGAGACCCTTCTTCCGATCCGCGTCGCCTTACTTTCGAGTGAGTGACAGCGTCGAGTCTTGTCGTCTTCGGTATGCGAGGGTCACGAGAGCGTCAAGAGTGGCCGCCGTGAGTACCGATCCGAAGGTGCGAGGTGAGGCATCGATAGTCGGCTTCGAATGTCAAGCTTGACGGCTCTCACCAGGCACTCCGCGAGGGTGTCGAGATCGCCAAGCTACTGCATCTCATGTGAGAATGGCTCAGCGCCATGCCGCCAGAAAATCGACAGCGAGATGGACTATCGCTGTGGTAGTTGCCAGCCTTGAACCAGCGATTGGAGGATGTGCTTTGCCTCTTGCGCAGTGCTTCGGTGATGCTTGTCGCTGAGACTTGTCGGCGGAGGTGAGGGCGGAGGTGTGTCGGAGGCAACTCTGAAGTCAAATCAAGGAGAATGTCGCTACCAATGCGAGGCTACAGCAGCAGCTTGTTGTCTGTCAGTCAATGCATCAGAAATGTCTCTGCACGTTCTCTTGCCCTTGCTGGGTGATGTGTGTGGCTTCGAGGCGGGGTAGCGGTGGAGGAGGCAGGTTCAGGGAGGGGCAGCGAAGGTCAAGGACGTCGACGGCAAAGACGAGAGGCACTTACTGCGGTCTTTCTGAAGCTCCTCTCGCTGTGTGAGGCTCGCAGAAGGATGCCGAGGGCCTGCGTTCAGCGGGTGAGGTTCGCAGCGACGGCTCCCGGCTGTCCTGAACCTCACTCGCAACGCTAGAAGCTGCGACAAGCGCGCAGGCTTACTGAGCGGGGTGAAGGAGGTGTTCTGAAGCTTCGGCTCTGCTCCATGTTGCTGTCGAGGGTGGGGGAGGGCAGGAGGCTACGATGGGTTTTGGAAGACTTCCGCGGAGGCGGTTTCCGCGCTGTATGCGGCCGGGGGCAGTCATTCAAGTCGATGATGATGTTCTGCGAGTACTTGTAGAGCTTCTCAACGAAATGCAGCTCGATCGCAGGGGTCTGATGTGGGAGCTACGGTGGTGGAGGGGCATGGCTGGGAATTTGGTGATGGAGACTTTGGTGTTGCAGCAATGAACTTCAGTTGACCCAAAGACCGTGCATTGTTCGGCTTCACCAACCAGCGCCACGCTACACCACACCCTCCCCAACTACTCAGGCCGAGTCTATGGATTGCCCCTCTCCGTCTGCCCGTACTGGCTGCCCCGAGGCCCCTTCCTCGCCTCAGAATGGCAGGCAATACCATGTACGACGTCGTGGTGCTGTCCTCGAGTCCGCCAGCCGCTTCCCCGCTACATGATGCCCCCTCCCGTCGCGTCGCCATGCTTGCGTCCTCCCCTCTCGCATTCTCTCCTCCCGCGAGCCCCCTCAGACCGACGGCCGGCGCGTCCAAGAGCAATGCACGAGCTGCTCCCATCCCCGAGGGAGCTGTCAGAGGATTCGCCACCGTGGGCAGCCTCATACGCTCCGAGCACTTCACAAGCCGCCTCGACGACGACTTCGATGCAATACAACAAGCGCAACCACGGCGGACTTCACAGGATGCCATAGAACCTCCTTTGGCTGCGGAGAAACCCAAGAGGCGGACTACGAAGAAGGCTACAGCTATTACCACCGCTGCAGACGGCTCCGAGAAGCCCAAGCCGAAGCCTCGAGCGCGCAAAGCCAAACCCAAGTCAGACAAAGAAATCCTTGACTCGGATGACGAACTCCGACGCCCGCCGCAACGACCTACAAAGTCTCCTTTCTTCGACGATGATGCGACAGAACCTCCGGTCGACCCTGCGGCACCAGCTGCGGATGCGCCGAAGCTCACCAAGTCTGGCAAGCCCCGTAAGCCTCGCACGAAGAAGGTCAAGACTGCGGAAGATGGGGCAGAACCTGCGCCAAAGCCAAAGAAACCGAGGGTCACAAAGGCGAAAGCAGGGGCGGGGAAGGGCAAGCAGGGAGATGCTTCGCTTGTGTCTGCGCATTTCGGAGGTGGAGCAGACGGAGGCCAGGAGTCGGCAACACGGCCTTCTGTAGAGGACCACGACACTCAAGCCAAGCCTCAATCGATCTGGGAAGTGCCAGACAGCCCAAAGCCGAAGAGGAAGGCTGCACCCAAGCAGCGACAGCCAGATCCCATCACACAAGGTTTGGAGCTGGAGGAGGCTGTTGTAAGGAGGAGAGACTGGACGCCGCCACCCGATACCACAATTGCATCGCCGTTCACTGACTCGACCGGAAAGGAGAACAAGACTCTATCGCCAAATCGAGATGGGTCCTTCACAAACCTCCTCTCCAACTTCGCATACGCACAATCGCCATCTGCGCACATCGCTGCGAAATCGAACAACGCAACAGGGGCCGTGGCAGCGACGAAGCGGCGGAGAATTGAGCTTGTCGAGATACCCAGCAATAACACCAACTCCAGAGACTCATCTCCCGAGAAAGGGAAAGCACCGAAGAAGAAACCGCGCACCATCACCGACCTCGTTACAGAGCAGTATGCATTGAAGGATGCACAACCAGTTCCAGACGATGCGACTAGCAACTTCTTCGAGTCCCGAGCTTCGACAACTACAACAGAGGTGCCGCTGAACGATGCATCAGCGGCGGACGGCGATGCAGCACCGAAGAAGCCAGTGCGCAGGCGTAACAGCTCAAAGTCAGGCACAGAGAAAGCAGATCCCAAGCCGAGGTCGAAGAAAGCATCTTCGAAAGCAGCCGCCAAGCCCAAGCCTGTCGCGGAGAAGCTTCTCAGCCCTTCGTCGGCAATGTCGCGTTTGCAGCAGCAGGACGTCTTGTTCGGAACATCAAGTCAGCTTGTGCTTGAGGAGTCGCCGACGATGGTGCGTCAACTACAGTATGCGCTGAAGGAGTCTGAGCAGGATGCCGATAATGTTGCGTATGGCGCGCCGCCGCTATGGTCACGGCTCGGCAGGGTGGAAGGCAAGCGCGGACTTTGGGCTGCGAGTTCCCGCGACGATGAGGGCGGTATGCTAGAGCACTTGAAGGACGTTCACATACCCGAGCCCGACCGAACACAAGACATCCCATTGCTCATGGATGGCACTATCGATGCGCCTGATGAGCAAGACGACGATCAATCTGGCTTCATAGACATTGACGATGTACCGCCGGACCCGCCGCCACCAATTGCCATATCTTCTGATCCGCCAATGCCTCCTCCCAGCATTCCACGCGCCACCCCAACGACGAAGCTTCGCAACGATGATGACCATATGAAAGATACGGGCTTCAGGGACATTGACGACTTCATGCAAGAGCCTCCACCTTCCGGTCAGAAACCTGTCTCACCAGACAGCTTTGTTGACATCGACGACTTCGACTTTCCGCCCTCTGCGCAGATGCGGAAATCGCCAGTCTCGATCTTCAAACCTCCCGCCTCAGCACCAACGCCCATGGACGGCTCTCCCAAGAAGCGCGGAAGGCCGACCAAATCGTATTCTGCAATACCTACATCAGTCTCCGCGTCATCGACGCCAATTCTGAAGCCCCGCGCGAAGTCAAAGACCAGAACTAAGATGCCATCGACCCCTCCCACAGGCTCAGGTCGCTTCATCGACATAGACGAGATCCTCGACTCCGAAGACGAAGCCCTGCAGCTCCTCTCCCCCACGCCGCCCCGAACAACTGAACACGTCAACTCGCAACCTCTGTCTCTAATCACACTCTCACCCACAACCTCACCCAGCAAATCGGTGAAAGCGAAAGCCTCAGTGGCCGATTCAAGTCTAGTACCCATCCACCGCATACCTACCCCGCTTCTCGAATGGCCGAACATCAAAGCCCAGGTCTTTGCTCAAATAACAAGTCACATCCGGTCTTTGCCTCCAACCACCGACCCCAGCAAACCTACCTGGCACGAGAAAATCCTCATGTACGACCCCATCGTCATCGAAGACTTTACCGCGTATCTCAACGCCCACACACGTATCCGTGTGTACAAGAAAGCTACGCAGAAACAAGTTAAAGTGTGGAACGCGGATCTGAAGAAGCAGGACAAGGAGGCGGTACATCTGGGTGTGGGCCCAAGCAGGGAGGGCGATGGATCGGAGGTGTTTGCTGTGGAGAAGGAACTTGAGAGCACGATGGTGCAGGGGTGGTGTGAGAGTTTGAGTGTTTGTTGTATTTGGGGGGAGAATAGGACGAAGAAGGGGACGGCTAGGAAGGGGTTTTATTGATGATGTGAGATACCTGATTACTGGGCTACGTTGGCCAGATAGCGGTTTATTCGATGATACAGATTTCGACAATTTTCGTGGAGACCGCGGATACCGGTAAGATCCTAATGATACGTTGTTTGAAGTCTATTCTTGCTCGTAGCGGTATAAGACACCGGGAGGAGCGAACAGTTCTAGCAGCTCACCATTATCGACTCACCAACCCACCAATGTACACACCTAAAGTCCCTCGCGAAAAGACTTTAGATTGGAGCGCGAGCCCACAAGATCACTCCGAGCACAAAGCCCAGAAATAGATGACGTCGATCCACTGGAGCGGGATCGGCCGGACGCTAGCAGAGTAGATCCACTACCGCCACACGGGATAAAACCCACTCCGTCCCGCCCACTCCTTCCCGTGGGTTCATGTGCGAAATGCATACGCGACCTACATGCCTCCCGCAATCCGCACAAAGCATCAATGCGCGGTATGCGATAAGATCTATTCCACCAACAGCCATCTTCGCCGCCATGAAGCGTCACGTGAGTTCACCTTGCACGATGAATTATTCGCAGCTCACAAAACCTAGATTTTGGCAGGCAAGACTTGACATGTCCATCATGCCATGCGCAGTTTACGCGACGGTGCGTTCATCTCCAGGCGTGCGTGTTGGTGGGAGCTGACAAAGATACAGAGACCTCGCTCGACGCCACTTGTCAAACTGCTCTTCCGCCCATGGCGATGACGTGAGTCTACCCACATTGAGGCGCGGCAGAAAGCGAAACTCCTGCGATAGATGTTCGCAGCGCAAGCTTTCGTGCGATACCAAAATGCCATGTGTGCGTTGTCGCGACGGTGGCGCGGCGTGTACGTATAAGCGGTTGGACGGCGTTTCTGCAGGTGCTACTGCATCTGTCGGAAGCAGCCAAGATGGTATTGAGACTAGTACCGACCGACAGCGCGTGGGCATCTCCATCGACTTCCTTCTAAACTTCACGAATCCTTCGGGTTACCGTCCGTCCGCTGCCATCGCCGCTGAGGCTGCTGAGCTCGATGGTGCAGATGGCGAGGCGCACGTACAGGCTCACGCTCAAGATCAAGATATGGCGCATGACCAGTCGTTTTTCGAATTCGCCGACTTGCCTTCTGTGTTCTTCGGTTTCCCTTTTCTGGTGTCGGGGAGAGAAGCCGACTACGCGTCTCCGATCATAAGCGATGGTCTGACGCCTGAGCTGGAGGATGCGTACGCCTTGGAAGTACGCGTGAGGGAGATGCTAGACCACCTGTCTGCTAAACACAGCGCGATGCTGGAACGTGGTGATGCAGTTGATGCAGCATTTGACTATCAACTTGCGGAGACCGTCTTCACAGTCGGCAATGTGCGGCACTTTATTTGGGCTTTCTTCCGCTACTTCCACTACTCGTTTCCCATTTTGCACAAGCCGACGTTCGATATACAGACTGTCTCTTTTCCGCTTTTACTCGCGCTCGTTTTGTTCGGGTCGCTGCCGACTCTGGAGTCTGACACCTCCATTGGCGTACGACGGTTCTCACACGTTGCGGAGGCATACGTTTTCGATCAACTGTCGTCACGACAGATATCGAAAGCTATTCATTCGGCGTGGGTCGACGATGAGCATCTCCAGTTGATGCAAGCAGGTCTATTGTTCTTGGTGTTTCTAAACAACAGTAACGACATCGTCACAAGACGGCGAATCCGCCTCCAGCGCATTCCGTCGCTTGTCGCTGCTGTGCGAGCTTCAGGCTTGTTTGCGCACAAACAGCGTCACATTATCTCCAGTCCAAATGAACATGACTGGCAGGGCTTCATCAACGATGAGATGCGATCGAGGTACCATGGCTCCGTCCATACTATGTACACGACGCCACTAACAACCCTCGCAGATTGGGCATGTGGACCTGCCTCTTCGACAGCACGCTCTCCGTATTCTTCAATAATACCCCACAAGTCGCTATGTGTGAGGCGATAGGTGACCTCCCCTGCGAGGAGAGTTTGTTCAGAGCTGAGTCGGCCGCCGACTTCGCGCGTCTCTTATCGCATCAGCTTCCGCGACCACGAGCGGAGACATTACCCGAACTCATGTCACGCACCCTTTTTCTCCCTGTTTCACAGCGCGCCGATGAGCCCGGGGAAGCCGTCTCACCACCACATATGCTGATACTCATTTGCGGTCCGTTTTCACTTCACCCGTCCTATTGTGAACCCGCTGACTCTAATAGCACTGCTATCCATCGTCATGACATCTAGAATGAACTTCCTCGCTTCTATGAACATAGAGCCGATGCTTCGCGCCACTGACCGATGGAAGGCGCTCTGGGATGTAGTAAGCCGAGATAGCGAAGGAAAGTGCCTGTCTGATCTGGGGTTCGAGAAGCACGCCGCGGAGTACTGGTGGCTTACGAAGACCATCCTGAAGGTCTCGAGGTTGGGAGGTAGGGGCTGTCGTTACATGCAACCTGCACCTTGTGACTCGACGCAAGACTTGCATGATTTCGTGAGGAGGTATAAGGATTTTGTTGTGTAGACGCGGGTGACTCGAGATAGTGTCAGAGATGCTATGTTAAACAGTCGATGGCACAGAATTAAGCACAACGTATGCCCTTCTACCAAAGCGATCGCTCCTCAGACAGTTATGTTTGACAAGACAGGACTAGCGTGTGGGTCTACTTCCGAATGCTGGGTCTATCGCCGAGATGGGTTCATCGCCGAACCTTCGATGCGCTACCGCGCCTCCGCACTGCATCTCGCGAATCTAGATCTCAGCGCCCGCGGAATCCGACGCGATCATGGAGACGATTAGCGCGTTCTCATGCAAGGGCCCAGCGCCGCGACTGATCAAGACGTCAGCGTGCTGATTAGTATATACCTCGAACGCGTCCGCCGCACTTGTTCCAAGAGGAAGCGCGTCCACGACATTGTCTGACACACTTGCTGCCTGCATCATTTCTTAGATGTTAATTTACAGTATGGCTCTCAGAAGATCGGCGAGAGCGGCGACACGCACTGCGCAACAGACCGCGAGTACTGCGATGAAAAGAAGACACTCTGGTTCGTCGACTGGTGAAGAGACGCTCAGCAAGCGCGTCGACAGCCGAGCAGCCAATCGTTCCGCGAAAAGAGACGGAATTGCGCAAAGCAGTGATGGAGACAAGAAGAAGCCAAACGACCAGGCCAGCAATGTCAAAGCAGAGGAGCCCACAGCCGGCGACAACGCCGGCGCCGACAAGAAATGGAAAGCATGGTCCGCCCACGCGACATCCACGCCATACCCTGACTTCGGCCACCCCACAAACCGCGAGTGCCAACTAGCCTACGATATCCTTCACAAACTGCACAACACCGCCGTAGAAGCCGAGTTCAAAGACACCAACACACCCGAGACAATCCCATTCGTCCTCGACGCCCTCATCGTCGCCGTGCTTAGCCAAGCCACGAGCTGGAACAATGCGAAACGCGCAATGGACAGTATGAAAGACACGTACGGCTCGGTGTTCGCCTACGAGGAGATATATAATGGGGGTTCGGAAAAGCTACAAGAGACGATCCGCTGCGGCGGCTTGCACATCAGAAAGACTAAGATCATCATGTCCATCCTTGAGGAAGTGAAGCGCCGCTACGGACACTGGAATCTCGACCACCTTCTCGAAGCCAGCGACGAAGATGCCATGAAAGAGCTCATGAGCTACAAGTACGTGGGCCCAAAGTCTGCGTTCGTGGTAATGGGCTGGTGCTTGAAGAGGAACAGGTTCACGGTTGACACGCATGTTTATCGTATTGCTGGCTTGTGGGGATGGAGGCCGAAGGAGGCGAGTAGGGAGAATACGCAGTTGCATTTGGATGCGGTGATCCCGCCGGAGCTTAAATTCAAGCTGCACTTCTTTCTCATTCAGCATGGAAGGACTTGTCCTGCGTGCCGCGGTGGGAGTAAGGATACGAAGGGGTGTGAGGTGCTTAAGGGGGTGAAGCAGGAACTGAAGAAGACAGATTAGGAGGTGAATGGCAGATAACAATGCCAGTATACGCGCCCAACAGCGGTGACGCCGTCCTCGACGCAACAGCCTCAACGACACCCACCGTGTGTCTCAGTCAATTCACCATTCACCAGCACTACCTCGTCGCTGTGCCTCTCCCCTCCTTGTATATAAACAGCCATTTCCAAACCCAATCCTCTATTCCCTTCCCAACAACTACGCACTACCACAATTTCACTACTACTACCAATTTCCAGAGCCACATCACACCACCACAACAAACCACCTTCAACCACCTCCACAACAACCACCACAACAAACCACCTTCAACTACACTACCACCGCCATAACAATGACCACACCAGCCCCAACCTCCTCATACACCTACTTCTGCTGCAACCCCTCTTGCTGCGCCGCCAACATTGTGCACAACGTTCCGCGGAGCCCGTACCCACAGTTCCAGCACCAGTTCAAGTGCGCAAAGTGCGGCGCCCAGCAACTCACGGGCATGTGGCAGGAGTACCACGGCGATACCGGTCAAGGGCACAAGGGGTTTTAGGATGCCGGTTGTGGCATACGACAGATTTGGGGACGGTGGGACGAGGGGGTGAGAAGGGGGTTGCAGGAGACATGAGGGGCTGAAGTTTGCGGAGGGTGAGGAGGGAGGGCGATGTAGCTGTCACGATACCCAGTGGTGATGAGAATGAAGTTTGTATTGTACTTGACTACCTCCTAGCTATTATGTGATGTTTCGTGTGACTGAGGCCACCACCCTGAAGTCGTACACAGGTTCCTTCCTGTGCTATGTAAGAAGTCTACCGGTCTTTCATTCCGCCCTCCTCTAAGCGGAAGCTCCACCACATGTACATTCTTCCTCTGCCATTCTTGTCCCTTTTCCCCAGGATGCGGCGGCATCGCCAGTTTGCGCGGAGGCTCCTTGCTTACATCGATTCTGCCAGTGGAGTAGGTCCCTGTTCTGTTCTCGAATTCCATGTGTAGGGCCATTTCGCCTTCTTCGGGGACGAATCGTACGCGCGTTGGAAGCCAATCTGGCATCTTCTCTCCAGATAAAGCTTCTAGAGCTTCTATAAGGATTTCTTCGTCGACGGTGGCGACGTTCCAGTTCTTGTGTATCTTGTTGGTTTCGCTGACTATCCAAGCTTGCATGCGCTTGGCGCGTGTGAGCTCCGCAGCCACGTCCAAGGGGGTGCCTGGCGAGGCAGATGGTGAGCGCTGGGATGTAAGATCTCGCGTCATGCGGTGCCATGGGGCAATAGCCATCTGGAGTGGAGTGTGTAAGCGCATTGTCAAAAGCGGGATATGTTTGGAAACGGAATCTGCCCATCTGTGCGACTTCTGGAGACAGAGTGCGCTATCAACGTCAATAATTCGTAATTGCTGAGGCGACGGGAGTAGCGATAACGCCGCCTCAGTCGGGAAGTATCGATAAAGTGTATCCGCAAGACCGCAGAGGAGCGACTGTAACATCCAGCTTCTGGTGCAAAGTATGAAGTCTTGTACCGAATTGAACTCGAGGGTGTCGGGCATTAGGTCGGCGACGTCCGGTGACGGTGGAATCGGTACCACAGACACGGTCGTTTCAATGAGCTCAGCTACGTGCTGCGACACGTTGATTTGCATCAGACCCTCCAAATATGACATGGCGATTGCAAGCGCGAACGTGTCCTCGGGGTTCGAAATGGCTTCTCGGATCAATGCTACCGCGTAAGGGCACTGAATGAAAACGTGCATGACGGCCATCGACGCTCTCTGTGATGGCGACAGCATGACATCTCTTGTATCGATCGGAGGTGGAATTGTAGCAGACAGGTAATAGTCGTTGTGGTATACTGACTTCCGACCCATCATCATCGCCTCGTGAACCTTTCGACATCAGCAGCGAACTCCCAAGACCGACCAGTACTCACATCGTCGACATAGGTATTGTCGATCAAATTCCAGAAATGATCGTCATCAACTTCCGCCACCGCACCTGACCTCAGCAGCTCGGCGATTCCGAACGCATGAATCGCGTAATACATAGTATCGAGCCCCAGAAGAGCCTGCATGTGATCAGTAAAACACGTCGACGTCTGACAGGCTAACTAACCTCAGCAGCGTAGTGTAATTTCGTAGCCAACAGGATGTCGTACGTGACCTTGTTATCAGTGTTCATCACGGCGAGCTGCAATTCCTTGAGCGCTTTAGCCTTTGAAGCTCTCGCGACCTTGCGCTTCGAGTGCATATCATCTCGATACGTAGCGTGACTATCGACGAAGAACTGAACGGCCAAATCAAGCATCTTGTTCGACCCGATGCGCGAGGGAATAGACTGTATCCAGGTCCCTAAGACCTCAAAAGGCTGCCTACCGGCGGGCTCTGGTCGGAGCACGCCAACGTATCGGGAGATCAGGGTCGTCTCGGGCGAGGATGGCTGATATGATGCGAGAGGACTCTCTTCTCGTAGCTTCTGGAGATGTACTTGAAGCGCAAGATTCTGCCGGTATTCTCTCATCTTCGACGGCTGCATCCTAGATCTTGAACGCGGTGCCAGGGTTTGAAAGCAACCTAGGCGATCGTCGGTGTGCCTTTCGGTAGTGATGCAGAGGTCTGAGGAATTTGACGAGGACGAGCCGGCTGCGAATGAGGTTGTTGATGACGAGCTTGAGCCCTCGTCAGGAGAGTTCAAGGGATATACGGCAGAGCCAGTCTTGGATCTTCCATGTTTGGTCAACTGTCTGGGATCCTGCACGACGAATGCTGAGGCTTTGCCGTAGGAGTAGGCACATGGTCTGTCTTTCTTCCTGCATGCGCTGCATTTGGGTCGCACTTCGTCACACTAGGTAGCCATTAGTAAGAACATATTCATTCCGCAACGACTTGCAACGCTTTGCGATAACATGATTGCGGGGATTGAAACGCGTCTTACCTTGACCTTGCGCTGCCGACAGGTGTCGCACTTTCCAGTCTGCGTCATGACAATTACCGGATCACGTATGCGTGGCGTAGTTTTGGAGCCTCGAGGATGCCTGAACACATTTGAGGATGGCCGTCAAAATGCGATGAGAGGTGGCTTGATCACAGGGCGCGGCTGCCTAACGCTCAGCTCCAACGCAGAGTCTTTGCGCATAGGCCACATTCAACCCATCCCAGGAACTGTCAATTGATGCGTGTACGCGACCGAAAATTATGAGCGAATCTGTTTCCGACGTCAAGTCGCGAAAGCCGACAGCAGAGAGGATGCCGTTCCTGCGGGTGGAGGTTTCAGGCCGCAGTAGCGTGGACAAATACGGTTAGCTGAGGTTCTTGGCTCACCTGGGCAGCATCCAGCTGAACCTTAGAAGCCACCCCTCTCGTCTGACATCGATACGTCCTTCGGGAAGCTTACTACCGCAATCTCACTACAGGGAGTTTGTTCCGTGCGACACTGAGAGACGGGCACTCTCACACCTCATAGCTTCTATCCAGCGCTACACCACGTCGATAGTATATGCGTTCTCCCAGCTCTCAGCTTCGTGGCCAGAATCAACGGAAAGGAAAGCGTTCGACTGCTCTGGTCTCAATACTTAGGCAGTTCAGACGGCTACATCGTTCGGATGCGCGCAATCAGAACTATACGTGGTAGACTGCAGCTGAGGAAACTGAGGAAAGAACGCTCGGAAGCGGAAACAAGATGTAATACATGCTTTTGATAACAAGAAACACTGGCTAAGCTTAGGCTCGTAGGGCTTCGAGAATGGTGCGCAAAACTGGCACCATTTGAATACCAGCTTCTGGAAACACCTGACACAATTCGAGTAATCCGCATTAGACCCGCTGAGTCAGCAAGCTCTTATGTTGACGATACTCCCCGGAGTGCGAGACGACCTGAGCCATTCGATATGAGCGAGAGCATCGAGTGCGATATCGAACATATCCGAATGAACGAGGTCTCCTATGAAGCTTTGTCTTACGAATGGGGCTCACCCGCCGATGACGATCCGGCTATTCTCCTCAATGGCCATTTCTTTACTGTGCGACGCAACCTGTTTGACGCGTTGCTTACTTTTAGACGCGAAGAAAGACAACACTACGATCTTCGAATTTGGATTGATGCACTGAGTATTAACCAGTCCGACACGCGAGAGAGAAATCATCAAGTCGAGCTCATGGGTATGATCTATCGTCGAGCCACCAAGGTGCTAATATGGCTTGGTATGACTGACAGTCATATCGCGCATATTATCGAAGAGATCAACAATCCATTGGATGGGATTTACATGGGGATAGAACCAGTATGGAATGACACCATCTATTCTGCAATTATCGAGCTGTGTCAGAAATCATACTGGAACCGCGTTTGGGTCCAACAAGAGGTGTTCCTGGGTGGCAAGATTTACATCATATCTAGTTGGGAAGATCTTCTAAACTACGAAAGATTCGATCTTATCCTTGGTTTAATGACACGAGATGATAGTCTGTGTGGCAAAGAGATATCTGCCACAATTAGGCAGAGTGCTGCCAACGCTCTTATCACACGAAAACGGCTGCCTATGGACTCAAGTCCTCTAATAACATGGTTGCGACTGGCATGCCACAGAGGTCTCAAGACTTCCGAACCACGCGATCTCATCTATGCGATGCTAGGTATCAGCTCTGACTGTCAGGACGGCGGCATTGAGCCTGATTATGACAAGCCATTGATGGATGTTTATCTTGAAACTATACATTTCTGTGGATTACACAAGCCAGGGCAGGAGAACAAACGGTTTCGAAAGACGCTGGCTGAGAAACTTGGGCTGCCATGGGACGGTGATATGGAGACAAGGATCCAGGAGTATCGTCAACAGAAACCCACAGTACGGCGGGAAGACTAGATCGAGGCCACGCCCCTCGTTCTTCAGCAGACTGAGCAGGCTAGGGGTAGACATGCCTTTCATAGTCGTTGAAATAGTGCTTGCTCACGCACTGACGATCTCCACGCTTACTCATGGGCTCGTCGTTGATGAATACACAAAACGGGTCTATTGTCTCTAGGAAAGCGCACTGAAGCCACACTGGTAAACACTAGGCTACCTTAAACCCATGCTGTCACCTCCTCACATTGTCTTGTAGCAATCCGCACACACACAGTTACGCGACAATGAAGCTGCTACCATCGATACCATAGTTCCTCGTCAATCTCCTCCCGTAATTCCTTGCTACCTCAAACCTCAATTTTCCCTCAGGATGCGGCTCGTGGAAATTGATTGGCTGCCTTGCCGTAATAACACCCCCCTCTCTCGGTGTGAAGCGCCATACAGAGCCATACACCTTCTCGGGTGAGAAGCCAATCGTGTTCATAGCTGAGAGGAATTCAGTCCATGGGACTTCACCGGGATGCGAGCTTGCAGACGGCTGGAAGAATATAGTCGAGAATGTGTGCTGTGTCTTTTTCCCAACGGTGAAGCGCGGTGTAGGCGGAGTGTTTGTTTCCTCAGAAGCGACTGGCTGCAAGTCTGCTGCGACTTCGACAGGCTCAGTGGAAGGATCATTCGCAATCCCCCTGGTCTTGCGCTTCTCACTCCGAATTGGAAGGTCTACAGGGTCGGGCTGCTGCTCCGGTATGAGAGGCGTGATGTATTCCTGTAGGGTAGCATCTTTCTTCGCTTTGTTGGAAGGTTTCGCCGGTTCTATCCAGTCTGGCGTCCGTTGTATTTGTCCTCTTGACGGCGCTAGGGATTCAAGAGCCTCGAGGTGTTTTTTCTTCAAATACTTCTGCACGTGAGCATCGAACTTGCTCCAAAGCTCATCGAGCCGTCGTTCAGTAGCCTGCATAATCTCTACGTTCTCTTTGGTTCTTCGCTTGCCGACAGGGTACGGCATTGTCTTTGGATGCCCGAGCTCACCAAGAAGGAGAAAATCATATCGGCGTTTGGCATCGTATTCTGGACCGCATTCCGGGTCTAAGATCACGTTTAGTTCTTTCACAGAAACCTCCATGACTATCTCGTGATAGTCGCGGTCGGCTCCAACGGTACAGTACTGCTCATCAGGTTTGAAAGCTTGTGGGCACACCAGGCGCAGGCGAGCTCGTAGTTCAAAACAAATAGCTAGGTCTGACACGAGCTATCAACGTGTACGAGGTCAGTGGCTATCTCATACGCATTTCTTACATGGGTAATGACTGACCTGTGCGACCAAGGGTGTGATTCTGTACTTCTGGTCCTTGTCCTGTTGTATAACTCGAGCCATTTCCCTGACTACAATTTGAGGAACCCCAAGGCCTTCCTCAGACCAAAGCAAGGAACACAGCCATAACAAATAGTCTTTCCCAAAAGAGCTCGGGTCTCTGAGCAGGGGTAATTCCTCTGGAACTGCATGGTCACGTACGAACATGCCGCGCACCGGTGGTGAGCCAATGAAGCAACTCGGCAACCGTGAAGCTAGGCTTTTGATAAGGCGCATATCAAGTAAATCTTTCAAGTCCGCGACAGCCTCTACCCATGCATCATGCCCTTCTTGTTTCTCCAACCGTGTCAACAGCAGCCGAGCAACCTTGTGTAGAGCAGCTTGTGCAGCATGCCACATGACAAGATTCTCGTAATAATCCATGATGATCGAGTATATCGTAATGTGCCAAAAGTCTTTTTGAAGGGCTGGATCAGTAAGATGGGGGCTTTTCCTTCCCTTCCTGTCCAATACATGTGTAGGGCTGTGTTCATCTACATGCATCGGGTCAGCGTGCTTCAATCGATGCTCCTCACGGCGCCTCGCACTTACAGAACTCGCTAACAGCATTAGTGAAATAGGATGGATCATCGCGCATAGCCCAGGCATGGTCCTTCCACTCGTGTATTCTAGCCGCTATAGAGGACATGATTTTGAGAAAGTCGTCCCATTGTGGGGCGGTATATGGACTGTCTTGGGCTAGTGCGAAAGCCGAGTCCCATCCATCCTCTTTTGTCGTTCTTATTTCGGGGGGCTCGGGTTGTTCGGGGGCTTGGAAGAAGGCCTTGAACCCGTCCAGACCACCTTCTACGTCGGGAAGTAGCTCAAGGCAGATCTTGACGAGGAAGGCCATCAGAGGCTGCTGTATCTGTAGGACGATAAAAGCCTCGCTCGCGCGCCTCACGTGTTTTTGAGATTCCAGAGCGACCGGAAGCTTGACCGGAAGCCCGTATTCTTGTAGATCAGTAGGATGCATCATCAGATAGTAACCCCATTCGCTGGGTTTGTATTTATCTTGCCATTCGCGTACTGTCTCATTTTCCGAACTAGGTGAAACTTCCCTATCTTCGGGTTCCTTGCCGTTGGATTCGTCTTCCAATATAGCTTTGTGTTGGCCTTCGTCGTTTGGGTCGTAATATATCGGACGCACCTTGATAACATTGATGTTGCGACCGAGCTCTGAGCTTTGCCAATCCATCTCGGCAAAATTGTTGGGTGTATACCGTCCGCGAGAGTTCAGAAGCTGTAAGACATGTGTTGGAGTCACGAGGTCCTCTGTATTGATATATGGCCATTTGTATACATCTTCTCTGATCGTGGAAGTGGAAGCCTCGCTGAACTCTCGTCTTTCGACTCTGTAGTAGTCGCGAAGGTCTGGGCGATGCTGGTGTGGCATTTGCGTGTGCCATGATCGTTCAAGAATAGCTTTACGTTGAGTACGCGTCTTCTTTGTCCATCTCTTCCGTATAACGCCCTCGGATCTTATCAAGATGGCGTTCAGCATGCCATAGTCGGCCATTATTGACTTGACTTTTCCAAATGTCTCTTTGTGAAATTCTCCATAGGGCATTGGCACCGTTTGACCACTGTCAAGGAGCCGCCAGGGTCTCTCTGCGGGTTCTATTGGTTTGGGCTTGACGAAGTTGGTACATTTTGGCTGTTCCATAGCTGGTCGCGGTTCCTCGAGGTCAACTCCTGAGGGGGACGGAGGAAGCTTTCACGTGAGATCCTGCAGAAAAGCTGATCAATGCTGATGCGGCGGTAACGTAAGTAACCATGTAGGGATTCAATAATGACGCCAGTTCCAATCGACAACAGCCGTGTTTACTGTTCCTGCGTTATTGCGAGAAGGAAGATGGGGAACGCGACAAAAGCGATCTGGTCGAATTGCTCGGGCCGACTGTCGCGCATTAGCCCCGCACTGCAGATCCCTACCACAAAAAGGGGCGATTTGACTGATCTCAGTAACGGATCGCAATGCACATGTCTTCTGAAGTTTTTGGTGCTGCGAAACTCCTCATTTGAGAGCAACCTGTTCCCGCACACTTCAACACATGGTCGAATAGATCCAACGACCGAATGTCCGACTCGACTTTCCTTGCGTATAAGTCGTATAGATTGCGGAAGATACAACTATGTCGAATAGAGATGAATGAACGGTGCCCAAGCAAACGCTACAACTGAATTAAAGCCATTCATGCCTCAACATCTCATGAACAACTCTTCACGCAGTGTTCCTCCCAATACCAGCCTTATACCTAGCCAAGCACCTCTCCCTCGCGAACTTATGCTCAACAACCGGCTCGGGATAGCCCTTCGCCTTCGCAATCTGCGCGGCCTTGCCACCGGCCGCATACGGATTATGTATAGCCGCCCCCTCCACCTCTGCCAGCTCCGGTAGCCACAGCTTGATAAACTCGCCCTGCTCATCGAACCTCTCCGACTGTGTCCACGGGTTGAAGATCCTAAAGTACGGTTGTGGATCTACACCTGTCGACGCACTGAAGCCCCAGCCGCCGTTGTTGGACGCGAAGTCGCCGTCGATGAGGTGCGTGATGAAGTATTGTTCGCCGAGGCGCCAATCGAGGAGGAGGTGTTTGGCGAGGAAGGAGGCGGTTATCATGCGCAGGCGGTTGTGCATGTAGCCTGTGTGGTTGAGGCAGCGCATGGCGGCGTCGACGATGGGGTAGCCGGTCTGGCCTTGTGTCCAGGCTTGGAAGTGCGCGTCGTTGTACTCCCATTCGATGTTTGTGTATTCGAATTTGAAGGGCTTGTTCATGCTGGGGTTGTGTTAGTATATTCGTGGTATAGAGGGTATTGGTCGGGCATACCAAACGTAGGGCCAGTGTACAAGCACATGCCGATAGAAGTCCCGCCATGCGACTTCTCCCAACCAGCCTTTGACGCCATCCTTCCCTCCGTCGAGTCTCTTCGCGCTGTTGACGTCTCGAGCCATACGTATACTGGTTCGTGCCGCCAGCGTGCCAGCAGCGTGATGCACACTCACGCGTGCGGTGCTGTTCATCGCGGGAAAGTTGCGCGTGTCCTTGTATTTTACCACCTTTTCTTCCAAGAAGCGCTCCAGGCGATCCATAGCAGCGGCCTCACCTGCGGGCCACAGTTGCTGGAACCGTTCCCTCTCTTCTGCCGTCAACGCTTTGCACTCTGGTAGATCGGGGACTTTCGTGTCGAAGAGCTGAGTGAATTTCTTGCGGAAGGCTGGAGGATTTCGCTCAGGCACAGGGCGCTCGTTCATAAGATGTGGATGCTCATGCAGATGTGCAACCCATGATCGGAACCAAGGGCTGTACATCGCATATTGCTTTCCACCTCCTGTCTTGAGACTACCAGGTGGTACCACGCAGTCGTCGTGGTGCGGCTCGAAGTTGATGCCCTTCTCCAGCATCATGCGTACCAAGCGCTCCTCCCGCCGAAGCTCGTCAGGTTCGTATTCCAAGTTGCAGAAGACGTTCTTCGCATTCCATTCTTCTGCCAACTCCACCAACCGCTTTGTTACGTTCTTTCGTTCGGGAATCGTTTCGATGTAGAGGGGGATGTTGAGTTCTTCGAGTTCCTTCTTGAGTGTCTCCACAGAGCGCAACTCGAAATGACATTTTGGCGGGCTGACCAGATGAGCTTCCCAGTCTTGCGGGCTCATGAACCACACGCCTATTAGGCCCACTCCTTTCTTCTCCGCCAATTCTGCTGCTTGAGACAAGCCAGTATTGTCTCCTATCCGTAGATCCCTCTTGAACCAGTGTACCACCGCGTCGCCATGTTGCGCTTTTTTCCCTTCTCTGATAGCCTTTCGTTTGTCCGCTGTATCCTCCAACGTCTTGTTCAGAATCTCGATCGGGCGCGGTACCTCATTCTGATTGTACAATGCGCATCGTTCATTGCTCATCTCAGCAGGATAGTATCGTCGATCGACTATGCCGGCTCTCTCTTCTGGTCTCGAATGGTCGAAGCCTTCTTCCTCCTTCTTCACGGCCTCTCCAGGCGCTCCATTCTCGGTGTTCTTGGCTATCGAGTCTACGGGAGGCGCGTCTTTCGAGGTGGCTTTCGGCAGAGGTTTCGCGATGCGCGAACGCTTGTTGGGAGCGTCGCCGGACACATCGGTGTAGTTCTTCGCGGATGCCGCATTCGCAGGTATACTCGCTTTACGTTTCGGTGGCATCGTGGCTAGTGTCTTCGCGGGGAAGGATGTGTGTATGCGTAGAAAGGGTTTGAGGGACAACAGGAGCCTCGGACGCGCGAGCAGCATACGCGTTTCGTGGAACCGCAGAATGGGCGAGATGAGGATAACCTCCTGAAACAGGATTTAATGAAGCCATTGCCGTGCTAATCGACGCGTTCAGCTGTCGCGTCTCTTTAGCACCGATCGATGACGCAGATGGTCCCTGGAACATGGAGAGTTCAGATCGATGCCAGATAAGCGAGCCGACCCCTGCATACTTCGAGCCGCACAATCACGTGTCCTCGAATACTTCACTTTTCCATCGCGAAGAGCAGCCAGCGTTAAGATCGCCCGACATGTCTCGCTATACCTGCACGCGAACCTGCTTACGTACATTCTGCTCCCACGACGTCTAGTGCAGCGTTTTGAGCGACCGGCCCGCCTTCGGAAAGGATTATCGCCAGCAACCTTGGCCTCGGCCGACTGTCTTCATTCCCCAACGATAGATAATTGGAACAGATTCGAGCATGGTCCAAGCAAGATACCCACCGCCCATTGCGGCTCCGAGAGACTCCACTATACAACAGCGTCTCGAGGTCGTTGAGCCTTGGCCGCCCACAAGTCGACTGTGCCCAGGTTTTAGACATCGTATAGAGCGAATACCAAGGCTTACTATCAAAAGTCTGATCCACTTCTCGCTCAAGGTGCCTGACCGGATAGCCATGACCATCCGTCCCGAGCTCGCTTCGGGCCGACTACCTACTATCAAGGGCGTACGCGAGAAACGTCTTTGGATGCTCAACTTGGATGCCGTTTGATGCTGTTATGTGTAGCTAGGTAGGTACATAAGTACTTCGAGAAATCCTCTCGGCAGGTGCTTCCACAACAAGCAGATCGTTCTGTTCCCCATCTACTACTTCCCAGACATGCTGAAGATGAACGTCAAAACATTGCTCCTGTATCTTCTAACAAACATTACAAGTGCCTCTACCCTCTACCCGACAGTCAAAACAACCAACGGAACCCTCACTGGAACACACAACCCAGACTACAACCAAGACTTCTTCCTCGGCATCCCCTATGCCCAACCCCCAACCGGGCCCCTCCGCTACCGCCGCCCTGCGCCTCGCACCCATCCCTTAGGCCAGTTCGATGCAAACAGTTACGGACCAGGATGCATTTCCACTTCCATAAACCTACCTGTATTCTCACAGACCACGCCATCCTACCCCGAAAGCGAAGATTGCCTGACCCTCAATGTCGTCCGACCTGCTGGTCTCGACAAAGGCGCTAAACTCCCCGTGCTACTCTTCATTCACGGCGGTGGTTTCCAGGAAGGCAGTGGTGGGGATCAACGCTATAACATGTCTTTTCTCGTGCGAGAATCAGTCACAGTCGGCGCGCCCATCATCGGCGTCACGATCAACTACCGGCTATCTGGTTTTGGCTTCCTGCCCGGAAGCGCGGTACTGGAGTCTAACGTAGCGAATCTGGGTCTGCACGATCAGAGGATGGCGCTTTGGTGGGTGAGGGAGAATATTGCTGCTTTTGGTGGAGATGCGGAAAAGGTTACGATACAGGGAGAGTCGGCGGGTGCGATGTCAATTGGACATCACCTTGTTGCGTATGGAGGGAAAGATGAGGGTCTTTTCCGCGCCGCGATTGTACAAAGTGGTGGACCGGCGGTTGATGCGAGGGGAATGTCGGTGCAGGAGCAGGACGTCCTCTACGACAACTTGCTCAAGCAGACCGGTTGTATGCTCGAGGAGGACACGCTCGACTGCCTGAGGAGTGTACCCGTCGAGGCGCTCAAAGTCGCTTTCCAAAATCAATCCTTGATCCCAGTTCCGGACGGCCAATTCTTCGATGGAAACTCGCGCATGGCTCTGAAGCAGGGCAGATTTGTACGCGTGCCTATACTCGCTGGTGCGAATACGAATGAGGGTACATCTTTCACCATAAGTCAGGGTTTGAAAGGTATAGGTGACACCACCCAGTTCCGGGCAGTCGTCGCGGGATGGTTAGGTCCTGGCATAGCCAGTACGATAGTGGACAGTGTTGTTGCGGAATACCTCGAGCGAATGTCACCCGAGGATCTCCAGGATTTCCTCGGCACTGTACTGCCATCATCTCGCCCAGAGTACGGCAGTCTCTACGGAAAAACTACCTTGTTCGTAGGCGATCATATATTCATTGCTGCAAGACGCTTCGCCACAGAGACGTGGGCTAAACATGGCGTGCCTGCTTACAGCTACCGCTTCGATACCGTGGGCAGCGGTGTTTCGGCCGAGACCCTAGGTGCCGCGCACTACACAGAGATTCCATTTGTGTTTGGCAATGTC